GTTACAGATTTTTTTTTTTAATTATTAGGGGACTGCTGGCTTTACCTATACATGTTGGTGTGTCAGAATGGAAAAAAATCTTCGGGATCTATATAATAATTAGGTGATTTTTAGGTGCTAATTAGAGCCTCTAATCAAAAATTAGGTGCTCCTCTAGTTTTTGAGAAAATCAAAAACCCAGAAATCCCTTAGTTTTTTTTTGTTTTCTCAAAAACTAGAGGAGCACCTAATTTTTAATTAGAGGCCCTAATTAGCACCTAAAAAGCATCTAATTATTATATAGATCCCGAAGTTTTTTTCCATTCTGACACACCAACATGTAAACGTAAAGCCAGCAGTACCCTAGTAATTAAAAAAAAAATCTGTAACTCAGTTAATAATTAATCAATTCTTTTTTTCTTCGACTATTTAGGAGCACCTAAAAAGCACCTAATTCTGATATAAAAGAAAATTTTGGAAAAATATTTTTTACTATAGGGGACTACAAGCTTTCATAAACCTAGCAATCCCTTAGTTTTTTTTGATTTTCTCAAAAACTAGAGGAGCACCTAATTTTTACTTAGAGGCCCTAATTAGCACCTAAAAAGCACCTAATTATTATATAGATCCCGAAGTTTTTTTCCATTCTGACACACCAACATGTAGGTAAACGTAAAGCCAGCAGTCCCCTAATAATTAAAAAAATCTGTAACTCAGTTAATAATTAATCAATTCTATTTTTTCTTCGACTATTTAGGAGCACCTAAAAAGCACCTAATTCTGATACAAAAGAAAATTTTGGAAAAATATTTTTTACTATAGGGGACTACTAGCTTTCATAAACCCAGCAATCCCTTAGTTTTTTTTGATTTTCTCAAAAATTAGAGGAGCACCTAATTTTTAATTAGAGGCTCTAATTAGCACCTAAAAAGCACCTAATTATTATATAGATCCGGAAGTTTTTTTGCCATTCTTACAGACCAATAAGTAGACGTTAAGCCAGCAGTCCCCTTAATAATTAAAAAAAAAATCTGTAACTCAGTTAATAATCAATCAATTCTATTTTTTCTTCGACTATTTAGGAGTACCTAAAAGCACCTAATTCTGATACAAAAGAAATTTTTGGAAAAATATTTTTCACTACTGGCTTTCATAAACCTAGCAATCCTTTAGTTTTTTTTTATTTTCTCAAAAACTAGAGGAGAACCTAATTTTTAATTAGAAGCCCAAATTAGCACCTAAGAAGCACCTAATTATTATTTAGATCCCGAAGTTTTTTTGCCATTCTGACACACTAACATGTAAACGTAAAGCCAGCAGTCTCCTAATAATTAAAAAAAAATCTGTAACTCAGTTAATGATTAATCAATTCTATTTTTTCTTGGACTATTTAGGAGCACCTAATTCTGAAAAAAATATTTTTCACTACAGGGGACTACTATAGCTTTCATGTACCAGCAATCCCTTAGTTTTTTTTGATTTTCTCAAAACCTAGAGGAGTACATAATATTTAAATAGAGGCCCTAATTAGCACCTAAAAAGCAGCTAATTATTATATAGTTTATAGACCTCAGCGTACCTAACTGGTAAATTAAATGGAGTCAAAAAATTGAGATTTTTGAAAATAAGTTTTGAAAAATTACTTATAAAATAAAACACTCATAAATGTGAGTAATTACTCACAAATTGGCAACCCTGCTTCTATACAAAAATGAAACACCTTCCCAATATACCCCTTCAAAACTCCATCTCCGTTTTGATTTGTTTTTCTGATGCAGTGAAGCTCCGCCTACTTTTTTCCGATTGGCTCGAACGCGGAATATTTTTCGTGTCAACAGTGAAGCTACGCCCACTTTTTCCCGATTGGGTCAAAAACGAACATGGTGGTATTTGCTAGACGTGAAGCTCCGCCCACTTATTTTTCCCCATTGGTTCGAAAGACAAACGCCGAGCGCCAATGAGAAGCGCAGTTGTCACCTCCTACACGTTTCTGATGTTCCTGTTTCAAAAATTGCCAAATCTCCTAATTTGTATTAGGAACACAGAAATTTGAAAAGATGTGTAAATAAAAATTGATATTTTTAAATGGTGAACTACTTGAAGTGTTCTGAATTCCTTTATTTCAATTCTTCTATTTTATAGTAAGTAATTACAGAATCACTTAAATTCCTAAAAAATAAATCAAATAGATCATGTTTTAATAAGTTATTTATCTCAGTGGCGGATTTAGAGGGGGGCGCGGGGGGCGCGCGCCCCCCCCTATTGAGCGACGCACAACGAAATTTTTAACGAAAACACAAACATATTCATCAAGCATTATCCAACATGAAATTCCATATGGTTTTTGCTATTCTTTCAAATTTTTAATACTTTTAAATACGTTTGGCAGCAGCGAGCTGGGAGCGAATCGACTGCGGATGACGTAAATCCGCACCAACTTTGAATTTAATCTATAATTGAAAATTCCAATTAAATTTAATCTCCGATTAAATTAAATGTTGATGTCAAATGATAGTTTATGAAAATCTAAGATAGGAATGTGAAATCGGTTTTCCTCTGAAATTAACCGTTCAGGTTTTACAGCCTGTCAAAGTTGCAAAAAGTCAATGTTCAACTGTCAATATTTCCAAAACAGTTGAACTTAGGTATAGGGTATATCACATGAAATCTGCTCAGAATTTTACGTAGAATCCAAATATGCAATCACATACAGGGTCTTTTATTTGAAAAAAAGAAAGTTGGTCTAGATAGCAAACAAACCAGAAGTGACACAGGCAATACGTTTAAGGGCCAAATTATGGACTAACTGGTAAGTTTCTGGTTGTTACCTAGCAGGTACTTTCTATTCTCTGGTGCATAGAAAGTACCTGCTAGGTAACAACCAGACGTTTACCAGTCAGTCCATAATTTGGTCCTAAGTAGAATTGTGGGAAATATTAGGGACGAAGCACTAAACACACAAGAAACTCAAGAAAGTATAAACTAAACAAATTAAATCAACCCGGAAGAAAAGGGAGGTTATATTCATTTGAAATTTGACACATGCGTCAGGAATGTCAAGATACGTTACCGATACGGATACCGCGAGAGGGCCGTAACGTTACGTTGTACGTACGGTATCTTGGCCTCCGTATCGCTTCTGCACATGCGCAGTACGATACCGATACGGATACCGAGCAAAAAATACGGAAGCTTTATGTCCCTAATTTACTGAGCAACTTTCATTAAGGTCACTTTTTCGTATACGAGGTAATTAGAAAGTTACAGGTATTATATGCGACTTTTTTGCCACTCTGTATATTTAAGTCGTTTTTTTATTATTTCTTATCTGAGCCTGAGGCCCTGATGGATCGCCCCCCCCTAGAAGGAATCCTAAATCCGCCGCTGATTTATCTTACGGTTTGTTTAATCCAATGGTTCCCTTTCTTTCTTGGAAGCTTGCAAATAGGTATATATTTTTTTAAATATTCAAAAGTTCTTTTGTAAATAACTACCGATACCTGGTCACTACCATACCTAACCAGAGGTACCTATTTGATTTATATTTTATGAATTTGATTGATTCATTTTTCATTATGTTTACAAATAGTACATTAAAATACAAGTTTCATAAGACGTCATTTTATCGCACGAGCCCTATATTAGAAAACGAGCCGGAGGCGAGTTTTCTAAAGGGCGAGTGCGATAAAATGTCTTATGAAACGAATATTTTATACTATTTTTTCTATTTTGGTATTGATAAATTAAAAAAAACAAATTTTTCTTGGAAATTTTATTTTCATATTTCCTAATTTCATATGTTTAGGTTGGTAATACTACATGCCAACTATAGAAATCTTCTATTTTAAAATCGCGAATGACAGTTCGATGGCCAACAGTCAGCCAGTGTTACCAACCTCCGATAAGTAAAAAAGGAGTGTCACAAAGAGCTTCTTTTCGAAACTACTTTTAGTGTCGAAAAGACTTCGATATGACACCAAAATAGAAAAACAATCTTATAACATAACATTATTTTTAACAAGATGAGTCATAGAATCAATGGATAAGGAACTAATTATTCATTTCAGAGGAATGCAAACAGAACAGAGTTAGTGCAGATGAAACAGGAATTAAAGCAATTGGAACATAATAACTCGAACAATAGAAGGAATTCAAATACAATTAATGCAGATGAAATACTTGAGTAATTTAATTTAGATCGAGTTAGTGCAAACGGAATAGAATTGAAATAAGTAGTTCGGACAGTTGAACAGATCAAAAAGAGTCGGAGCACTTAGAACAGTCAGACTAGAATTACTAAAAAAAAATTCAAATCAGCCTACTGTTTTACAGCCAAATTACAGTATATTTGCATCTGCAAATATGGCCGACTTGCATATGTGCTCTATTTGCGGAAACAAGCAAATAACAGAAAAAAATCTGCAATTTGGTCATATTTATCGGAAAAAAAAGTTTGGGCGCTACTGACCGTGCGTTCGTTATTTTGGCCCGAGTTCTCCGAGCTTGACTTTACCGTTCGTTTATTTAAAAAGTGTACTCGGTGCAGCCTCATTCGCGTTCGTTTATTAAAATTTCTAGCACTTTTATTCAGCGTTCAACTGCTCTGTTCGCTCACTGGTCACGTGATTACGGCTCCGCTCAGCACGCTCTGCTCTTTGAGCAAAATACCGAACGCAAGGTGATTTACCAGTTTTAAATGTCAAAGTTGTCAAAGTGATTGCAAAGTGCAAGGACTTGCGGGACCGATTCACCATGCGCAAATTTGCAGGCGACTTGCAAATGCATTCGATTCTGTAAGCGCGTAACGCCCCGGAACTCGTCCTAAGCTGGGTTCGGCTTGCTCACTCCGTGCATTCCGAGTGAATCCATTCGCACTCCAGCCGTTCCGGTATTGCTTTTTACCGTATTTAGGGGTGACTCCATTAGCTCTGTTCAGTCCACTCCAACTCCGCGCTGAATAGCCGAACCCAGCTCTAGTTGTGAAAGGAACATATCTTCTCATTTGACACTGACATGGCCATGAAATATATGACATATTTTCAAAATTTGGATCAAAATTCAAAATATCAAAAAATGGAAATTTGGAAAAAAATTAAAATTAGTCAAGTGAATATCGCGCATATTGTTAATAATTGATTTGAATGAATAACTTTTTGAGACAAACATTTCTGAGAATATTTGCTAGCATTCCAAAAAAAAAGGTAATAATAAAAGATACTTAATTCCTAATTACTTCTTTGCTTATCGACAGTATAATTATTTAATAATTAGATTTTATTGTTAAAAAAATATTTTATTAATTTCAAAAAAATCAAAAAACTATTTTGGTGTTTTGACTTGTGGTTCAGTAATAGTAATTTACAATACAAGTGCGTTTATGAACATGATAACAATAAAAAGATTAGAACGACGAGGTCGTAGACCGAGTCGTTCTAATCACACGAGTTTTGTAGTCATGTTTAAATGCACGTGTGATGTACAACGTTTTATCACCTACCTTTAATTATTTACCTTATAATGCCGTGAAAAATTATGGATAAGGCATTTTTTTTTTGAATATAAAAGAACATATTGCGATAATATTAACAATTGTTTTCCAAGTAATATTTTCAAATTTTATGAAAAACGTTACATCTAACTGCTCCAAAAATACAGGGAAAGTCAAAATTAGGGCCCTGTTCAGTCCTCGTTGGCGGACCCTGTAGGTACACATACCCTACCTAAATAGATTGCTAACTAAGAATTATTATTGTACTATTATGAATAAAATTCAGTTAAATTGGATACAAAATTTGAATTTGGCTCAAATCACTGTCCCAATACTAACCTTAACAAATTGTATCCAAGATTGTATCATAATTTTTGTTTCTAGCCAAAAATCATGAAGAATTTAGCAGTATTCGATTTTGACCATACCATAATTGATGACAATTCTGACACTGCTGTAATGAAATTGGTAGATAAAAGCAAATTCAGTCCACAACTAAAAGAATTACATAAGGAAGAAGGATGGACAGCGTTTATGCAGGGAGTTTTCGATGTGCTTCATGAAAACCGCAAAACAGAATTGGACATTTCCAAATTAATTGAAAATATCTCAGAAGTTAGTGGCGTTAAAAATCTTATCATTGAACTGCACGACAACATGGATTATGATGTAATAATAATTAGTGATTCTAATACATATTTCATTGAGCACTGGCTCCAACAAAATAATTTATCTTCGAAAATATTAAAAGTTTTTTCTAATCCCGCGGAATTTGACCAGAATGGTCTTTTGAAAGTAGAAATGTACCACATTCAAGACTCTTGCAAACTTAGTACAAGGAATATGTGCAAGGGAATGATCATGGAAGATTTTATCAAGGCCCAAAGCAAACTAGGAATTATTTATAACAAAATTGCCTATGTTGGAGATGGACAAAATGATTTTTGCCCTATTTTAAGACTGAATGACAACGGGATAGCTTGTTGTAGGGACAATTTCAAGTGTGTGGAGCTTGTCAAGAAAGCACAAAAGGATTGTCCCATAAACGAGAATGATAAAACAAAATATAAGATTAAAGCTCAGTTATGTGTTTGGCAAAATGGTCAAGATATTTTAGATTTTTTGAGAAAATCAATTTGATAATAAACTGCTATGATATTTTATTTTCTGTGATAATAAATGTCCTATTCGAATAATTTCAATTCAATTCAATTTATTCATCAGCAAATACCTATTGAAAATCATTTACAATAAGTTGTTACCAATCAAACAGAAACTTATTCAATAAATCATACAAAAACGAATTAATTTACCTTGTTTTTTTTTTTTGTTGCTAACAAAAGTTTGCAATGTACTATGGTAAAAAAATACTGTGTGCGCCTCATATAGATTTATAATTTTATATAATATTTGGAATATATTGTCACACGCCTTGTGGCTAATGTGGGTAGGACCTCCTGGTTGGGGGTTGCTCTTCAGGAAAACACACAACTACAAAAAGGAGCCTAACGTATATTGTCTACTTTGGTACATCACCAAAGGGGCACTACGTAGGTGCCCCACATGATTCTCACGTTCGGATGCTCTACATACATATACGAAGATGCAACTGACGACGATGCCCTAAAGGGCAAGACTTTCTGGGGTAAGGCGACCCTGAAGAGAAATGAAGCTACTGCTCCTTTGGGTAAAGAAACCCTGAGAAGAGAAGCACCCAAATGAGCTGCATCGGTTTTTATATCCATTTTGTGTACACGTTAGTTTATGCATTGACCTGCAACTGCTGATTGTTGATGAATCGTGTTCTAGTTTCAATGGATTGTTGATATACAAAGTGGTTTTATTTATAAATCAGTTGACAATATTGTTGATCTAAAATTGATTTCATTAGAAACAAAGCTGTGTTGCTATTTTTTACCAAAGCTACTCTAAAGAAAATCCTAGTCAATAAAATAATCGCATCGCCCACTATAAATAATTTATTTAATAGAATATTCACAAATCCAAACGGAAAAAATAATTGCCTAAGTAATATTATAATTCACAGATATGCAGAATAAATACCTAATCCCGGAAACTATCCGCTGGCAAAATAAAACTAAAATTCTTTCATTATGCTTAATTACACGGAGAATCTATAGATACAAAAGTAGACATATCTTTTACCTAGGAATCTGATCTTTTTAACACGTGGTTGAAATTCAAATGACAATCGAATTGCTAGTTTCCTTATAGATATAGACTCATAGGTATATAGAGTTTTTCAATAGGAAGGGGTGGATATTAAAATTGAATAAAAAATTGTGTACAAGATATCAATGAATTTTTTATTTTATTTAAAAGGCCTATCAATTACATTATTTGTGAAATATTACGTCGCTTTTATATAAAATGAAAAAAATGTTAATATCTTAAACACAACCTGTCTTATTCAATTTTAATATCAACTCGTTCCTATTGGAAAACCATTAATAATTTATATTGAACATTTATTATATCATAGATTTCCAAAAACAAACCAATGTCCTATATCTTCGAAAAATCAAGAGAACCGTATTAAAATGTCAGAAAAAAATCACTGAGCATAGTAAAGTTTACATTTTGACACAATTTTTCAAATAGAACACTTGGTAAATTATTGCATTTAATAGATAATTCTTCAGAAAATTCTAAACACATTGAATTCCTAATGTTCTAGACTTATTTTGAATTGTTTTGGATATTGGCAGCATTATAACTATAACATGACATACAATTAAATTTAAAGCAAGATGGTTTGCACTTTTCTAATATGAAGAAGTTGTTTAAAACAGAGAATCAAAATCCACAAAAATGCAACCTCTATAGTAAACTTGTACAGGGTCATTTTTTATATTTTCCCACCCCCTTAACTTTTTTGTGCCGCTGTGTATAAAAAAAAATTAAGTAGGAAAGTTGTAGTACTTGAAAAATAGTTCTCAGAAAACATAGTTTTGTTCATACAGGGTGTTGTAAAAAGTTTAAAAAACAGAAAAATATATTTTTTTGTATATTATGACATTTCTGGATTCTGCGGAAAATTCTAGACATATTTCATGCATAATGTCATATACCTAACTTCAACTGTTTCGGAAATAATGACAGTAGAAAATTGACTTTTTTGCATCTTTGACAGACTGTAAAACCTTAACGGTTGATTTTACAGCAAAACCGATCATACATGTTTTTCCTATTTTTTTATAAAATATCATTTGACACCAACTTTGAATTTAATCCATGATTGAAAATTCCAATTAAATTTAATCTCCGGTTAAATTCAAAGTTGGTGTCAAATACTAGCTTATGAAAAGCTGTCGACAAGAATGTAAAATCGGTTTTGCTGTAAAATTAACAGTTTATGTTTTACAGCCTATCAAAGTTGCACAAATAGTTATTTATGCAACAAGTGTGTAAAGTGATCACATCTCATGTGATTGTCGCACTCGCCTTCGGCTCGTGCGTCAAAATTCACATTCGTGAAAAAAGGTGCTTTACGCACGTATTGCATACAAATTTTTTTCTACTACCAATCAAATATGTATAAAAAAATAAATTTAGACAAATTCTTCACGCACTAGTGCGTAAAGTATTTTCACTTTACGCACTAGTGCATGAAGTAATTTGACAGGTCGACATATTTCATTGACATTACTTTACGAACTAGTGTGTGAAGTGACCTACTTCACGCACTAGTGCGTGAAGAGACGTCTTCTAAATAGTGCGTAAAGTGAGTACTTTACGCACAGTAGTAGAAAAAGTCAATTTTCTACTATCCTTATCTCCGAAACAGTTCAAGATAGGTAAATGACATTATACATGAAATATGTCTAGAATTTTCCGCAGAATCCAGAAATGTCCCAATATACAGAGTGTCCCATTTAAAAAAAATATTTTTTGTTTTTTAAACTTTTTGCAACACCCTGTATGAACAAAACTATGTTTTCTGAGAACTATTTTTGAAGCACTTCAACTTTCCTATTTAAATTTTTTTTATTCTCAGTGGCACAAAAATGTTAAGGGGGGTGGGAAAATATAAAAAATGACCTTGTACATGGTACAAAAATAATAGAAAGTAATTTAAAAAACGTGAAGTTAGATTTGAAGTTACACAACTTTTTTTTGAAGTGAAACTTCTTTCCTGAGAGGGCAACAATTTATGTTAAGAAAATTCCCAAACGAGTAAAGGGAGTTAGGAACAGCTCGTCAGAGGGGGGATAGGCACACGCTTGATCGGGAGATGGCAGGAGGAGAAGTGGATGCGTAGCGTACCCTATACAGGGTGTCAAAAATCCATTGGTAAATCGAAAAGGGTAAGAGATACGAGGGTGGTTGAATTAGAAAAAAGTTGCAATTTTCGAAGGTTATTAAAAATACATCTTCGTTGTTGCCAAATTTCCGAGATACAGGGTCATTTGTAAAAAAAACAGTTTTTGGTGTTATTACAAATCACCCTGTATCTCGGAAACTAATAGAAATTTGCCAACAACGAAAATATATTTTCAATAACCTTCGAAAATGGCAACTTTTTTCTAATTTAACCGCCCTCATATCTCTTACTTCTGATATACATACCAATGGTATATGTGTTAGTGAGAACGACCAGAAGGGACGCGGCAGGGAAGAAGACGAAATGACGCCGCCTGGATCCTACGGAATTCTCGTAACATTGCTAGTGTTGTCTACTCAAAATTACCATGATTGATTTATTTTTTTTGTCAAATTCAAAAACTAATATATGGTAAAATATATTTTAATACATTATGTAATCGTTTTGCTCAATCATTTTATATCATACCCGCACCCTTACTAATAATTCTAATTTTTGAGGAAGAAGTTTCACTTCTATCTAACTTTGCTTCTATAAGTACAACATGATATCAATTCGCTAGTCTGAATCGGCCATTGAATTTTTTACTATACTCCTTATTAACCCGCTTGAGAACCGGACGAATACTGGAAATTCAAATGCACTGATAATCCACGGTTCACTTTCTGAAGAATTATTTTTTTTGCAACGAATTTCAATTATCCACACACAACTTTCAGAAAAATGTATTTTAATATGGAACACCTTTATAGCAATATCTAAAACAATTTAAAACTTCTAATTGTAATTAATCGAAGCGCAATTACTACTAATCTAACATTGACTGTCTCTACTATAAATATCACAATTCATCCACACTTCTGTGGCACTGGAAAGCGTCTTTTGTACTCACATCAAACCACCACATAACTTTTGGCTAATGAGCCATCGGATGAGTCAAACTTTGAGTCATTATAGGAAAAGAAACCATTGGCTGAGTAGCATTTGACATTGCTATAGCCTGCGACGTATTAATCGCAATCTGATTATTTCTGTGTAACTCGATTTGTTGCTGAGTAGTCGCTGCCAATAGCTGAGGAGTCGCGTTCGCTAGCGTCAGCTGCTGAGTTGGAACGTTGGCTACGGTCAACTGTTGAGCTGTATTCGCCAAAGCCAACTGCTGCGCCTGCGAAGTCAATTGTTGCGTGGTATTGGCCAGAGCCAATTGTTGAGCTTGAGAAGTGAGTTGCTGATTGGCGAGCTGCTGCGCTTGCGAAGTCAGTTGTTGGTTGAGCTGCTGGTGGTGGGTTTGAGGGTTGCCCGCCAATTGTAGTTGTTGCGATTGATTTGTTAGTTGCTGGGAGGCGTTGGCGAGAGCCAACTGTTGGTTCGCCATGTGCTGAGCTTGGGAAGTTAACTGCTGAGTTGATGTAGCCAGGGCTAGCTGTTGACCTGGGTTAGTTGTAACTGGAAATAAATGTTCAATAAGGTGTGTGTAAATTGCCACCATCTTAAAAGTGCAAGTTGTTATTTTTATGACCAACAAATATTCTACTCCCAAAAATACATTTTTAGCAGTCTAAATATATTTTGTTCTTTCAATAAGGTAAAAGAACTTTTGACAATCTTGTATTAGTCAGTGAGTGGCGCCCATTAAAAACCCACCAAACTCTCTTAATTTGGGGTTCTAAAACTTGGGCACTTATAGAACTATTTTCTGAATAATTTTACTGTTAAATTTTCTATCAAAAATCAAAATACAGTTGATGATGACTGAAAAATCAATAACTTACCTAAAATTTGTTGACTAGGCGCCAAAATCTGCGCTGGCGACGCTATACTGACAGTGGGACAGCCAGCAATCGAAACCGGATTTCCCGACATCACTGGCGTACCGGTCGTCACTGTTGCCAAGCTCACAGGAACTGTGGCAACGCTGGCCGTTACCGTTCTGATAACTTGAGGCTGAGTATTTGTATTGGTCAAGGTAACAGCGGGCATATTCACAGCGGTTTGTTTACTGGTAACCCGCAAGGTGGCGTTCTGGTCTAGCAGAAACTCGTTAGTGGCTGTTAGGTCTTGAACCTACAGTATATGATGATTTAGTTTATTCTGGTTGTGAAATTAATATTTTTCTTTTTATATTTCAACAAAAATACTTACTTGCTTTTTTAACTGGGCGATTTCATTATGGAGAAGAGCATTTTCTTCTTCAAGCATAAGTGTCCTATAATAAAATAACATAAAATGTAAGGTGTCACCTGAAGTAAGACCATAAGAAAATTTTTGATTTTCAAAAAAATACTTAAACCCTGAAATTTTATACCTTCTGTAGAGGTAGAAACACTAAGGAGCGAAGTCAAAATTGAGGTCCAAAATATTCAGATTAAATGCAAGAAATATCACCATTATATTCACTGTTATATTAACCCAAGAAGTTTACAATTTACCAAATTAAGAAGATCAATGTTACATCAAGAAAGATGAAACTTTACTGAAATTATTTGAACTGAAATAACTAAATGAGGAACTTCTAGAAAAGATCTATAGAATGAAAATTTCATAATGAAAAGACACATTTCAAAAATGTTAAAAACTCCTGTGAGGAAATGTTAATATGCTCTTTGATTATTTGAACAAAGGTAGAGTTTCTATATTTTCTGGAAAATTTTGAAATAAACACAGATTTACTTTGTTCAAATTAGTCCAAAACGGTGGTTCTATTCTCAATAATATTCACTTTCTCTCTTAATTCTTACCTTGCATCCGCCCTATTGAGAACCCCTGGAGGAGGACTACCAGTAAAATAACCTTTGAAAACAGGCCGTGTCCTATCAGCCTCCAATTGAAGTTCCCTATTCAGCATTTCTTCAGCGGCAGCAAACCTTCGCTTTGCTAATGGCAGACCACTGTCTTGATATTCCTCGTAGCTCACTCCATTACGTCTATGGGCACCATTCAGAGATCCGACGCCACTGAAATTGGATTCAGGCGCGTTCAAATTTCCTTGTTTCCTTTGAATATTATTCTGAACTAATTCCAAAATTTCTTGTTCCTCTTGTTCCTTGGTGATGTGCCTGAACTTACAGTGAGTCCTTCTGCACACGCCTTTTTTGAATTGATTGCAAATTGGCGCGCTACCAGGCAACTGATTTTTCCTTGTAGCTTCTGCAAGGATTTGGTTGGACATTTCGCCGGATTTTTTGTACTGTTCAACTTCTTCGGTAGTACAGTGAATGAACCTTGTAGAAAACAAATTGTAAAAAAAATTTCGAATAATTAAAACTTTACTCACTTGCAATTAAGCCTTGGACAAATGTTATTTTGATAATCATGGCAGAAATTTAAACGACGAATTTCGTTATCGTGTTTGTATTTACAAAATTTTCTTTCGCATATACCTCGAACAAAATCACGGCAAGCGTTTTCGTCCTTGTCATTTGGTCTGTCACAAGCTTCTTCAGATGTGTCCGACATTGTTGGATTGATAAATTATTATCCTGAAAATAGTTGTTTTAAGAAATTAATTATTCTGCTGGAAACTCAACTGGAGGAAATACTGTGGATAGCTCTCGAGCACTTGTATTGAGGAAAAATGTACAGGATGTGACTTTAACTCTAGTGGGTTTCGTCTAACCTTAAAACACTCGAGGAGGAAAACAATGCTCTCGAAGTAATAATTCATAAAATGCATGAAAAAATTGATTGGTTGACAAAATTTCAATTATTTGAAGATAAAATACACTCAATTATTCACAAAAATGAATTTACTTTTTGTTATCTATACATATCCTTTACCTGTAATAGACTCAAGTAGGTTGGTTGGGAAATTAAGTGTTAAGTATCAATATTGGAACCACATCTCTCCGTTTCTCAACCAATAACACCAAACCCTTATTGTAAAACAACTAAAATCTCTTTAGAATCTAGTTTACCTCTAAAAGTAATATTTTTAGCATAAAACGCTAAACGTGTAGCTATCAGCAGGGTATGCGATAATGGCGATAGGGGTCAAAAAACATTATTAAAGCTGTATAAAAGGCCAAACCTCATATAAAACATTTGCTATTACGGTGGTTAAGTCTTAGAGATCCGAGCAGAATAAAAATGAAAAAAGGGTTTTGTTAAAATTAACGTTTTGGGTTATTTTCTTATTTTGGCACATTTTTAATTACAAATCAGTTATGTCAACCGAAAAATTGTTAATATTTTTCCTATTTGTTTCATATGTAAGTTGTGTAAGTGAATTGCCAGAGGAATCTTGTGAAACATTACCATCGGAGATACATATAACAAAAGGTGAGTGATTTCATTTTGAACCAAGCACTTTTATTTTTAATGAAAAAGATTTTCAATTTATAATTTAGAGGAATTCGATGAATTGGGCAGATTACAACGAACCTGTAATGGTGAAGTGGCCGTAAACAAATGTGAAGGTTCATGCAGAAGTCAAGTTCAACCTTCTGTCATAACTCCGACAGGATTTTTAAAGGTACCTTATTATTACAAATTGTTGTCTTTGAATAGCAAATAAATTTATCACAGGAATGTTATTGTTGCCGAGAAAGTTACCTTAGAGAAAGAGTCATCACTTTAACCCATTGCTACGATCCTGATGGAGTACGACTTACTGGACAAGGGGATAACTCGATGGATGTTAAATTAAGGGAACCGTCTGAATGTAAATGTTACAAGTGCGGAGATTTTAGCCGATAAACCATTGTTTCTATTTTAAGTTGAAAAAAGTGTACCTATATATAATTTGAAAATGAGAGAGCTTAAAAAACAGTTCAAAAATTTGTTTTGCAAGTCCATCATGATTTTTTTTTTCAATAATTACATAACTGAAGTGAAAAATGTAGATACATATACCTATATTTTGTAACAAGTAATAGTTTGTAGTCTAGAGATATAGGAAATATTTCTAAGGCATTCTCGTCAAATTAAAGGTGATACGAATTTGTTTATAATACATATATTATTAAATGTAATTTATTATAAGTGTTGTAATACTGCTTGGGGTCATGTAGATTAAGATAAATCTCGGATTAATATAATAAGTGTGTGTTTTTTGTATACTCAGTGACGAGATTAGAAATAAACAAGATCCAAATTACTCTAAAAATGAAAGCCAATTTTTATTTTATAAAGGCTAGTGATTTGATTCAAAATTACGCATTTTACTACCAAAAACCATTCATTTTATTGTCTAATAACATACATATGAATTATTTTAATCAATGAATTTAGACGTGTTTATACTGCTGTTTGTTTAATTTAACGAATAAAGTAAATATTCACTTACTTGCTAGAAGCTTTATTGATGATGTGTCTCATAGTCTAAGAAAATAGTCGAAAAATACATGCATTGCAAAAAAAAAATTCCTACCCAAATGAACTTTTCAGGGATGATAGGGGGCGGGTGGGTGATCATAAAACCGAAAATATCAAACATTCACCCCTCTGGCGTTTTGCGCTATAGGGGTTGAAAGTGCGCCATTGGCGATTACTTGGTACCTATTGATTTTACAAAAAAATGTTTCAAATAAAAGATGTGCAACATTATTTGATCTAGAATGTTTATCTGAAGACTTTTTTGATTAAGGGCCGTCTGTGGTCATAAGGGCCGTTTAAAATTTTATAATGAAAATGAAAAATTGTAACCAACATGAAAAAATTTTTCTACAACACATACAACATTTTTGCTTTATGAAGTTTTTACTCACCCCCTGCCGTTTTTCAATAGGGGTAGTTTAAAGTTTTTTTATTTTTCTACAAAAAAATTTTCTTGATAAAAGTTTTATAAGATTACGTCATTTCCTACCATTTTTTCTTATTGACTTTTTTTTATAACTCTCCCCCTTTCAGCGTGGGGACACTTCCTTTGGGAAAATTTTAGTTTTTAGGGGTATATATTATTATTTTTTTCTTTTCTCATCTTTAGTGCATATAAAAAGTTGCAATTAACATTGTAATAAAAGGATTTTTTTTCCACCACCTTTTTGTTTTTAGGGGTAGTTCGCCTATTTTCAACTTTACAAAAAAAAATTATAGAGAAAAGGTGTTCAAAATAATAAAATGAACAAGTATTCTTGATAAAATTTTTTTGTACAGTTGAAAATAGGCGAACTACCCCTAAAAACAAAAAGGTGGTGGGAAAAAACTCCTTTCAATACAATGTTAATTGCAACTATTTATATACACTAAAGGCGAGAAAAGAAAAAAAAAATTAATATATACCCCTAAAAACTAAAATTTTCCTAAGGGAAGTGTCCCCCCGCTGAATGGGGATGAGTTATAAAAAAAGTTTATAAGGAAAAATTGTAGGAAATGTAATCTTATAAAACTTTTAAGAAAATTTTTTTGTAGAAAAATAAAAAAAAAAAAACTACCCCTATTGAAAAACGGCAGGGGGTGAGTAAAAACTTCATAAATCAAAAATGTCGTATGTGTTGTAGAAAATTTTTTCACGTTGGTTACAATTTTTCATTTTCATTATAAAATTTCAAACAGCCCTTATGACCACAGACAGCCCTTAATCAAAAAAGTCTTCAGATAAACATTGTAGATCAAATAATGTTGCACATCTTTTATTTGAAACATTTTTTTGTAAAAGCAACAGGTACCAAGTAATCGCCAATGGCGCACTTTCAACCCCTATAGCGCAAAACGCCAGAGGGGTGAATGTTTGATATTTTCGGTTTTATGATCACCCACCCGCCCCCTATCATCCCTGAAAAGTTCATTTGGGTAGGATTTTTTTTTTGTGAAAATCGACAATTTTCCTAGACTATCAGTCAAAATAGATATTTGAACGAGAGACGATAATATTAAAAAAAGTCCCAGTTGCTTGTTATCAACTCAATATTGTCACACAAGGCCCTTTCGGCTCGTGAGGGTTAGACCTGAGGTTAGGGTTTGCTCTGCAGGAAAACACACAACTACAACGGGAATAGTGTATATTGTCGTCCAATAGGTGCATTACCAAAGGGGCACTACGTAGGTGTACCACATGACTCTTGTGCTGGGGCTCTATGTAGGAATACGGGTTCTGCATGTATAGGCAACGCTACCATGCTGGAGGTTAAGACTCTCTGGGGTAAGGTGACCCTGAAGAGGAATGTAGCTACTGCTCCCTTGGGTAAGGTGACCTTGAGGAGAGAGTGATCCGAAGGGGTTAATGCTGAGAAGAGAAAGACCCGAATGGATGCCGATACCATGGTTGTATCGGGTTTTTATATTCATGGCGTGTAAACATAATTTACGCGTTGACCTGCTTAAACCGCTGACTGTCGATAAATCGTGTTCTAGTTAGTTTTAATTATTTTTGATATACAGGATGGTTTTTATTTATAGACCATTAGTTGACAATATAAACAAGACATTTTGAAAAAAAAAAAAAAAAAAACTTACCAAAAATACTCTTCACTCTAAAGGTAAATTATACTTCTTATGAAGAGAGCCTACGGTGCACTGTTCTTCATCAGCTAAAACTCCCAAAACCATCTGAGTAACATCCTTAATGTCGTTATAATCGTGCAATGCTTTCATCTCAGGTTGCAAATCTTCAGTTACACCTGAAATTGCACAAATCAAACAGACTTAATATTGCGCATGAAATTTTAATTTTTTTATTGTTACCTTTAGCTCGTAATTCTTCAATTTCCTTATCTAAGGCAGCACTGCGTTTTTTCAATGATTGTAATCTTAGTTTAAGTTCTGCTGTCGTTAATTTTTCCTTCGAGTTTACCTTTGGCAACTTCGAATTCGGTGCACGTCTTCTTTTCATAGGCATGATTATTTACGAAGCATTTTCAATTCAATCTGAAACAACAAACAATTAAAACTAGTTATTTTGAAGAAAAGCATTATTGAAACTCAAATATTTTCTAATTAAAGTGCAGGTAGAGACTTTGTAGTTTTGCTTAAGAAGAGTCAGAGCGAAAATATATCAACACAAAAGTTATTGTACTTGGATTCTGCACTGATTATAAGAACCAGGTTGTAGGAGGTATTCTTCAGGTACATAACTAATAGGGTGCGATACAGATACCTAGGATGTCAGGTTAATAAAGACTGGCATAACATGCAGGAGGTTCATGCCAGGATTGAACAAGCCAGAGCATCATTTGTAAAAATGAAGTCTGTGTTGCTACGTCTTCGGTAGGTACCAATTCTTTACTATGGGACTGAGGCGTGGACTCTGACAGACGCCATGTGTAAAAAGCTAGAGGCTTTTAAGATGCGGACCCATATAGACGAATGTTAAAAATATCTAAGACGGACAGAGTGTTTCGACTTCATTCAAAGTAAATATTATTTCCTTCCATTTAGTCGAAAAGCTTATACAGATATAGTGGCAACGTGGAATTTGCATACATTTTTGGGATACCGTTAGACACGACGATTCTCGAATATGCGCAACCCTCAACGAAGTTAGGAACAAAGAGAAATCGGGAACTAGACTAAGGGCAGTACGGAGAGAGACTCGAAAGTGCCAATACGCCGTAATAATTCAGAAACCCACAGCCGTTCTTCAATTATTGTACCTAAGTGGGTTTTCCTTCAATTAAATTGTTGTTAAGTTCAGACCAGTCTTTTTTACTTATTCCTAAACCTACAATCCACTAATTTATCATATTTAAGATCAAGTTAAAGGCAGCCTCTTCAAAATATCTAGTAAATTCTGAACCAGAGAGCCGCCGTAGGCTAAACCAGATCAAGTGAACCTACACAGAGTGCGCAATGAAGATGTGCTAACGAGAATTTCAAAAGATATGAAAATTATATTTACGCTTAAAAAGCGAAAGGTTTTCGGACACATACTCAGGAATGTTAAATACCTAGTTCTCAAGCTCATAATCGAGGAACGTCGAAGAATATCTTGGCGCAAGAATATCGTTATCATTGTCGGGCCAATAGACATGAAGACCTGCGCGACCTCTTGAAGTTTTTGGAATACAAATACGGCCTTTTCGCAAGAGAATCTTTTCTTCAAATAACAAATTTTCAGGTTTTTCATAAAATCACATTATTTTTCCAGAAATTTGGGATTTCTCCAGACATTGAGTTTGTACCCATATGTGATTACTTTCAGAAAACAATTATCTTTCTAATTTTATTCCAGTATTCGTAACTGGTAATTGTGGACACAAGTCTTGATGGATCAACCGCTAGTCCATTGTTACCAGGCTGATAGGCAATATCGTAGTCATATAATTATTCAATATCACAGCAATCTTTGGTGTTTCTCGATTTTTGCTCAACATTTTCTCCAATGGTTTATGGTCAGTTAACAAAGTAAATGTCTCCCAGACAGAAAATGATGCTCTGAATCGTTGAAAGTTCTTGATGCAAAGGCTGCAGGTTTGAGTTTTCCTTTTGTGAATTTTTGAAAAAGAACAGCCTCCAATACCTTTAGAACTTGCAGCACTTGTGTCTATCAATGGCAACTTTGGGTCATGATGCACTCGTGTACCTGATATAGTGAACTCTGAAACAGATCTCGATTCGCTAATATTCGTAAGACTTGGCATTTCGAATTGCTTTCAAAAGGTCAGATGTAGGATGTATAAACCTTCGGAATCGATTGCATAGCCCAAAAAGTTGATTGAATTTTGTAACAGTTGCATTTTGTAAATTGAGTTTTTAAACCTGCACTACATAGACGATTTAAAAGTTGTTGAAGTCGATTCAAATCATGCATCAAAATAGCATACAGTACTCTCATCGTCTCATAGAAGTTTGTCCAAAGGGATAGTGAAAAATTACCTCCAGAAGGTAAACTTTTGTACTTAGTAACCTAAGCAATGACTAAGGTAATTTCTAGATTCTGGGTGAATTTCTAACTGTAAATAGCAATTTTTTTAGATCTGATTTTGAAAAATAAGTAACACCGTTTAATTTTTCGAAAATATCAAGTGGATTATCATCTGTGATCACGTGAAGATTAATCTTGGGATTAATGGTAACAGAAAAATCACCAATGTTTCCGTTTCATTTTAATGTAACAACATTAAACTTTCCTGAAAAAAAAAATACTTGTACCAAAATTATGCCTTATTTAGAATAATATTAAAAGTATTTAGACTTACATACAGGAATTTTTTCATATACTCAAAGGGTGGTCCGAACAACATACACAGAGTACATTGTATAAATCAGCGTGCGACCGCCAAAATCGATACAAGACACTTCGGCAAACATGAAATTCTCATAAAATCCTTATTTTTTTTTTAAAGAAAAAACAGAGCTGAACATGGAGTCAACGGCACAAGATCGAAACTACATCGACGTGATTTTATAAAAAGGAAAAACTTCAATCAAAGTGTTCGAGTGTCTGGAAGCTTTTCTCAAGAGAATGGTATTGGTTGAGAAGATTTTCGGTTTAGGTAAGTAAATATGATTTATTTTGCCTTTTTGCCTCTGAATTAATAATATGGCAATTTTATCTTTACCTTGACTAAGTGTTTCTGGTTTTCCCAAGTCAGTTGTTTTTGATAGAGATTCCTCTATTTCATAAATCCATACTATTTTAGTTATGACAACCAACTTCGAAATTTTCTTTGATTTTCTTTCTTACCTGTGACTATACTGTCGCATTACTGTATTTTTCTTCTTTGTGTGCCTTTATTTTGAACAAATCAATCATTGATATTTCAACTGCTATTAATGATTTAGAAACAACTTCAATTCCAACATTCTGGACTATGATACTTGATAGTTGCGATACTTTGCATTTCAAAATATTTTTACAATTTCCCATCTCAGGAAAAACAACAACTCAAAACCGAAATCACTGTCTTCACTAGATGAAATGTTCTATATGTTCCAGCGAAATAATTAGTTAGTCAGAGATTTTTTGTTATGTTAAGAGAACTGGAACATTATTTTCAACCAAATCCACCTTAATAATATTCATAAAATTTGAGGAAAGATGAAGATCAGACACTTTCTTTCCCTAATAGCCTTACGATATTACGTTTTACTGGCCCAAAAAAGTTTTATCCCATAAACTTTTTTGCAGTATTTGGATAGATTCTTTACTTGTTTAGAGAATGTTAGCAAAGTTCCCACCCAATATTCTGCTGCAATGTATTCCTTTGGGATCAATAGCTTATTAGCACTCAGCACTTTTGAATACTACCTACACTGGTTACACTTTATTATAATGATAAATTAGTTCAATTTTCCATTGTGAGTGTAGCATATGAGTTTAAATAGTAAATTTTTCCATAGCAAACACATAATCTTAATTTGTTTTTGCTTTATGTATATAGGTATAACTATTTAGTTATTATTTCCCAAAACATTTCCATGGAATTATTTTGTACCTTCTTGACATTGAAATTATTCAATTAGATTATTTGAATTTTAATTGGAGACAAACAATAAGACAATAACAAATATATAGTTTAAGAAAATAATACTTAGATTTAGAAAATACATATTCTGGTTTTTTCTTAATTTCTCAAGCAATTAATTAAAATATTTGAGTCAGACCGTCCGTCAAATGTATTTGATTTATTCACTCTTTCAATATTTACATTTACACAATATACAGTACACTTTAATCTAAAATCTCAAGGAAAAGAATAAAAATCATGAGTTTTTTGGGGTGGGAAAAATTTTGAAATTAATAAAGTAGAGATAATCCTAAACACGATCCAATCTTTTTCCAGTTTCATCGACCCTATGGCAACTAGCGATAGTCTTGGTAATTCTGGCCAGTATGTGTATGGATCCGAGGCTCAATCCGGACAGGCGATTAACTGCAAACGCGGCCAGTATGACTGACGAATGTCAGGTGACGCCTGTGATACATGTACTCCAATATCCAGGCTGTGTACCAAAACCGATACCCAGTTTTGCTTGTACTGGACGGTGTGCATCCTATATTCAGGTAGGTTTTTTTTTTGATACATTACAATTACAGTTATAGAGAGAAATTGATAATCAACTGGGTATTTGGGTAAGCTGTGTTTGGGTGGTCCAGGCAATACCGTTTTATTGTAAATATTGTTATGTTGCCTTGAAACTTTGAAAGCAAGGCCCGGATTCCGAACCCACGATTGGATAGTATCGTCAGGTATTCACTTTTACATGAGCTACGATAGACAATACTATCGAATCGTGGGTTCGGAATCCGGGCCCCATGGTTGGAAAAAACTGAGGAAACTAAATAAGACTGAATTGTATTTTAGTTTGTTTTGAAATGGGGAAAAAAAGGAAAATGTGTACTTATCTGACCTACTTAGGTACTTGAAAAAAAAAAGGAAACTTTCTTTGAAATCTAGAGTTTTTTGACACAGAAAGCTATTTTGCCAGAATTTGATAAAATATTATAACTTGGACTTATTGAAAGCTTCACAAGCAAAAACTGATAATACTAATATAATAGAAATAAATGGATATCAAATAAAAATAAACTCTCAAAAAAAGATGCTACCCGAGTCACAGATAAAACAGCTTTAATACTTGACCATATTCTTATAGCAAAACAGAATCCAAATTGCAAAATAAATATGAATGATCATAGTATATCGGACCATAAAATTATTCATGTGAGAATGACAGAAAATATACTGTGTACTTGTGCTGATGAGGTGCTAAGTAAGTTCTATGAGAATATGCATGCCGTATTTATTAAATGTGTTCCTATGTCAACACAAGGTGGTCGAACATTTCCTGTTTGGTATAATAGGGAAATCATAAAACTATTAAAACAAAAGGAAACCTATTTTAGAAAGTTCAAATCCACTAAGTCTTCTTACTGGCAAAGTAAATATAGGAATA